TTTGACTTAGTTTTTGCATAAATTTACTCATTTTTGTGGAAGAACGCTCATTTATGTACTTTCTTAGCCATCTTCGTTAGAATTGGAATCTACAGACTGGCAGTGAAATTTTGTGCGTTAGAGGTTGGTTAGAAGGGTGGCTGCACTTTTGGGCCCCAAGCCCTCCATGAAGCGATCTGTCCATACTCTCGCTAGAGGGCAAGTACAAAGACATAAAGACGGAGCGAAAAATAAAGCAAAAAATAAAGCTTCTTTTCAACCACGTCTAATATTGGCTAGAGAATTGGCGGCGAAATCGGGACAAGTTTGAAATTCAAATGTAGGGCGGGAAGTAAATAAAATTGCGGAAACTAAGTATTCTAGGTTGATTTTTGCCCAAATTCACTTACCCCCTCATATTTTTTTAACTTTAGGTTAGTTTTGGTCCGTCGTCGACCGATTAATTTCATTTGGGAGTAACGGTCATCGACGACTGTAACAGCCTGTTTGAACCAGCAGAACCACCATGAGCAGAAGGAAACTAACTTTATCTGAGATTACTGCCTGTTACCGAGAAAAAGTAAGTGTATTATAAAAATTCGCAGTCCCAACTTTCTTAGTATATTCGTTTCAGGCATTTAAAATACGTTTCGAAGAAGAAATGTGGAAAAATCAAAGGGACAAGTTCAAATCAAATTTCCATTTGCCGCCATGGATTCCCGCGCTCAATTACACAAGCACCCAGCGCCAAAGCAGGCTTCACTTTTTCCCCGTGCTTTTAGATACGAGCACTCCATCTTTATGTCTTTGTTTTGGGCATACAACAAACGCATTTTCATGTTAGAAATCCGCAGGAGAGGGCGGCACTTTACTTGAAAGCACCGTTTTCATTGGCTCTCTGGAGGAATATTGTCACTTACTGCTGTCTTACCTAAAGTTACGTCATTTTTTTCGCACTTACGGTTTTCTCACACGTCTCGTTTTGATACAATTAAGATTAATTTTGCTGTTTTAGGTATTTCAGTGCTTTCATCTAAAAGAGATTAGACGAATTTTGAAGGAAACTAGATTTCGAAAATTTGACACTAGCTCTCTTCGCTATCACGGCAGTAGAGTGCCCATGTAGGGAGGGTATGGACATGTTGTTAATCTTGAAAAAATTTCTCTGATTACAATTTTCGCTCCATGTGTTTTCCAGCTTACAATACATATAAATTCTAAAACTTGGCTCATCTAATTAACTACCCATCCCATTATGTGATATGTGTTGGCCAAGGAATCAGTGATCTAGAAAGAGTCCTCGTTCGCCGATTCCAATCGGTCGAATTCATTTCCGTGTTCGCATGGCGAGGTCTGAATTATTACCACGTCTTTTGATCACTGGAGACCTTCGAAACTATCGATTGTCGCCCCACAATCGTTGTGGCTACGCTTTCGCCTTCAGATTAGCAATTGAAAAAATATCGATTCCCGCCAATTCGAGTGTGCGACTCCGA